TTTCACCGAACTTTATAGAGTTATCAGATTTTCGCCAAAAATAGAGGGTCAATCTTGTTTCCTTGATGGTATAAAGTTCGCCAGGAATACCAACACTAATTATGGACAATAGGCGTCGATTCCTTCAACTTTACACCTCTTATTGAACAACTGATTACAGGTGGTCGGGTGGCGCAGTGGGAAGCGCACTCGCCTTTCACCAAAACGGCCGGGCATTACAGCTTACATGTCTTTACGTATAAGTTATTGTCCAATTTGAAACAAAGGATTTAGGAAAAATTATAACAATTATTGTAGCTACATCAAGTACCCAATATTAAGGGAGTTTGTAGATACACAATTGCAAATAATTTAAGAAGGGAGCAAGTCAGTTCACATCCAACGGCATATTTCCATCAACAAATAGGATTTATGTTCAACTTGTTGGCAAATTTAAGTTGTTTCATCATTTTTAACAAAACAATACAAGTATTTCGCTAAAGTCATCAAGTGTCTAGGTCCTCAAATAGATATGGCCTATTTACTACAGTACCAAAGCTACGTTTGAATGCTTCCTCGTAAAAATGTAGTCCGTCCTTACAATGAAGACAAGGTATTGATTAGTTTTTTTCTACAACATTAGTAATCTAGCAACATCAAAACAATACATGAAACGACAAAACAGAATATTTCTTATGCAAATAATCAATTTCAATCCGTTATCGCGCGGATGAATATATCGCAGGGTAAAAATTCCGTGAAATGTCACGTTAAGATGCCAGACAGATCGAACAAGATGGAAAAATCTAGCACGTGGTGTCAAGAAAAACGTACAAGAGAACTTGATAGAAAACCCGATCATACAAAGTCGGACAGTTTGTATATATATCAAACTTTTTCGACTATGCAATATCTTACACTATGCTATAAAAACTGCGAACACTAATGAAAGAATTACCTTTCATCTATCTGCAGTGTGATAAGTGAACGGAAAAACCCGAGGCAGTCTGCCACAGTTATCACGCGGTCCGTCTAATGTTTCTAGAGCGGCTGTACATCGTGAATGATTGAGGTTAAAGTGCCATGTACCCACGTGGAGTTGTAACCCAAGTGCCACAGCATGTTAACTGCTATTAAGTGTTATTTTGTCTCTCGACCTAAGACATCTTGATTCCTTCAGTATCTACAAGGTTATTTAAGTAAATGTTGGCCTAAATGTAAATCCGTGATTTGCTTTTCAGCGGTCCATTTATACACAGGGGTTCTGCAGGAATTTATGATAGAGACTCGGTAATCGGCGTGAATTATTGGTATATTCCGAGGTGTTACTTAAAGGGCCAAAAAGAAAGCCCCAGTGCTGCTTAGGCCCCACGTTGGTCGATTATTGTCAACATTGGTCGGCTCTCTGTCTTCATAGCTCGCATTGTGTTCCAAATTGGTTGCTTTTTTGCAATAAAACAGTAAAAACACAACAACTAATTAAAAACCAGGGCCCAGTTGTTCAAAGGGTGGTTACAATGTAGCTTAATCACTGCTAAACGACATTTAAAACTCCACTGCAACCAAACATGTTCCAACCCGCTATGCTACAACGCACCAACCTAATACCAATCAGACTGAAAACAACAAGATTCACAGTTAAAACACACAACGCTACAACCCAATCTGCTTCAGTTACAACCTCTGGTTAAACAATCAAGAATAGTGTAAATCGTTTCTATTATTGAAGACAATATACATGACGTCATTAGTGACGTAGAAAATTTCCTGATCTACATACATTGTAGTACACTTGTTATCATCAATATTCAAATGAATGAAGCTGCTCTCGAGGTTCTTCTCAGCTCGACAAATACTTTTAGACACATTTAATAAATGTGATATGAAGTCTTAACCATTTTTAATTCCAATGTTACCATACGATCGTCCTATAATTCTGTAACCGTTGCATAGCATGCATACTCAATAGACTATGACACCCGTTGTGACGTCAAAATACAATGACGTCATGAACATCACGGTAAATTATATATTAAAGAGTATTTTTATGCTTGCGCGTAGAATGCTTTCGGTTGGCATTCAAAGTCATTATGAATGACATACGTAAATGACTTATTCCATGATGTGCTAGTGATGGCGTCAACACGTCGTCTAATGCATTCATTGCTCATGTGAATGACTTCCAAATCTGGTATGGTTATGCTTGTATTGTGTTATTGTATATATCTCGGAAAACTTATTTACATAATTTCTCAAATTCCTGTTGCATTCCATCTAAATTTCTTGAAACTCTCTAAAGCTCGTTTCATATTGAACAAATGTAAATTCTAACGAGGTCCTTTATGAGATGTTGCTATGATCAATCTTATTGGAACTCACACTTTTAAATCTTGCCTTTTTTAGCAACGAAGTTCTGAAATGAAACTCACTGCTACTACACCCGACCGTTGTGTTTTCATCTTCCCAAGGACGCTTAACCCTTTCACCCCTATGCAACTTTAGTAGACATTACCATGCATTGGTATGGATGAGTCCATATTGGTCTACAGTGGTGAAAGGGTTAAAACAGCACAGTATACGTACATCACTGTAATGAAGATGGAACCAGCACAGTTAATGCGGAATAAACAAATCAGAACATGTCAAGAACATCGAATTTCTCAAAGTCACGATTGTGTGCAGAAAACTCTTTTTTTTCGATGTTTGACTTCCGGTTGTTAAATTGCAATCCATCGTGTTGTTGTCATTACGTGAATTTAACTTCACGGGATACAGACACCGGAACTGGGGTTCATGTTTCAATAAATACAGTTTGTTTCGTGATAAGGTTGTGTGGCCCGATCGTCATTAGCCTATCCTCGTGAGAAATACTACTCGATCGCTACACCAGATGTGTTCAACCTCTCTCACGATATCTTAAGGCGACATATTCTGCATACGTTATCAATTTCAAAAAAGATATTACATTTTCTCATTTTTATGCTTTGTTAAGTTTTAATTTCCCATAGTCTTTCTGATATGATATGTCAGGAGATGACAAATATATTACTTGGTGGTTGGGTTGCGCAGTTGAAAGCAAACTTAACTTTCACCAGGGCGGCCAGGGTTCGATTCTCTGATCGGACGTAAAAAAATATATTGCATTACCAGCCCAACGAATTCGGTTTTCCCCAGGTACTCCGGTCTCCAACACAGAGCCATTATGTGCGCTACCAGCCTCACCAACAAAAGTGATTGATAAAGTGTTGTAATTGAAATAAAGAAAAGTGATTCCTGGCTATCTTAATTGTAATCATTCAGCAAAAAATATAAATGTGTATATAAATATACAAATGATAAATGAAGCGGAACTCAAGAATTCTTTATGAGATTACTGAACGTGTGTTTTGCTTGCCTAGTGATTGCGTTATACACAGGGGCTTGGCTGTCTTTTTTTTTTACATAACAGTTGTAAATATTGTGAATTATACACCACTGCCTATCAAGAATAAACTATCCATAATGGCAAATGCTAATATAGATAAAAGAATGCCTAACTGTATGTGTCCATCGATAACAGTTCAATGTCTTACTCGACTCTTTATGTGCATAAGTACCACGTTGAACATGACAACATGTCTTTCGACGACTTTCGAGATGACCCAACCGGAAGGACGCATCACTCTCTTTTAGCGCGTAGGGATACATACAATAATACAACTTTGTTCCATGAAGTGGCGAAGCTATCTTACGTTACCTGCATATTATTGAATGTAGATTATAGCGAATGAAACGCACAACAGAAAAACGAAATATCATACAAAACGAGATAAATAATTGTTTTGATCGAAGATTTAAAATTATAATATATTTCTGTCATTGCGAAATGGAAACAGCAAACCCATGTTCTGATCCTTGTTTCCCTGCTTGGGTCTTCATCAAATAGTTCCTTGGGTTCGTACCTGCACGCATTCACATACAGCGTACACTGGCAGCTGCTGTCGGGGTGGGGTTTCAGAAACTGCTTTTATCAAACTTTAAATCTGCAGTTGAAACGTTCCACGTTCTTCAGAACACTATATCATTTTTAGATATATGTCTAATTAATTATCAAATATATCAAAGCAACTTTTAAGATAAGCAAATGTTTGCAACAAATTATACCGGAGTCTCGGGAGAGGAGCGAGACGTTTAAGTCTCTGTAATGTTTGTGATAAAAATCTCCATGCTCGAAAATTACGAAACTGACAATGATTGACGTAAGTGAAGTGCGTGCATCTTTAACCGTTAAACAAAAGATGGGGACCCTCAGAGGGTTTTCCCATGTGTATAGGGCGTGAATGTCTCACAAGAAAACGTAAGAGTTATTTATTTTCGCTCATGTAACCTTTGTATCCCTTCGTTATAACTAATTGTGTTTAATAACAAGAAAATAAGAAATAACTTAACGGCGACACTTGATGTGCCTTGAATATAATTACTGTCTGATTATAATCCAAATAGAATTTAACAAAGACGTCTGGGTCTACTTATGATGAACATCGCTAGCTTCTAATATTAAGTTATATGATATATTTCCTATCATCAGACATAAGTATTGTAAATTAAGTATATGTTAGAATAAAAACGAACAATTTTCAAAGTAATGCGGCTTATTTTTTAAGACCTTTCCGAAGAAAATAAATCAAATATGCAATTTAACGCATTGTAAAGATGACTGAACTTTCTACAACTAGCTTGTATCCTAGACAGGTGTCACGGGCGAGTTGCTACAATTGACATGCATCATCAGCTTAAATCTCCATCGTGTTACATAGTTTTCTCACCAAATGTTGATATTTTAAGTAGCTTATACACATGCACTAAGATGATATTCTTATTGCATGAAATTTATTTTCTTTTTTTATGAAATAGATGAATATAGATATATAAATAAACATCTTGAATCATGCCAGCGTTAAACGTGTTTGATTGAAAGGGACTGATATGCACTATGATATATCGCCAACCCGCCCCGGCGGAAGGTTATATCCTGTGAACGCCAGATTACCGTGACTGAAGACGTCACGTGTTGCCCTGTGTTGCATGCTGTCTTATCATTCTCCGTCACGGCGTACAGCGCTACAAAAATACGCACATCGCTTGTGTATCTGTTGTATAGCAGGATGTAGCATCCTTTGTTCGGAAGAAAAAGGCTAAGATTCTTGTTTTGTGCAACATCACAAAACAACGAAGGTCTACCATTCGCAGAATATGTTTACACGCGTGCTGAAATTGGAGCTTAACATTGCACAAAGACATTGGTATTGTTTGTGAGGCACGTAAAATTCTGCCGGAGTGTCTTGTACAGTAATTATTCATTACGACTGTAATCGACGATCGAACATGTGAGGCACGTCAGTAGTAAAAGTGACGACAGAGGTTAGATCGAGATCAATATCGTTGAAGTGCTTGAATAGACGACCAGCAAAATAAGCCCTAGTGACCGACCCAAGGGACTGCGCTGAAGATTATGGTAACATTCTTAGGCAACACTGATTGTCCCTGATGACAATATCGAGAAAACCATGTCTGCTTAACCAGCAAACATATTCGTTTATTTCGAAGGAAATATAAATAACTGTTCGTTTCTGAAATTTCTTTTTGGATACTGTGTTTTTTTGTTCATTTCATCTGAGACGTTAATTTCACACTGAAAACATGGAACCGGATATGATGCAATTGATGTACGACTTGAACAAAGAGGAAGCTCTAAAACGACTTCCGGTAATTCTTTTTCTCGCAATTCTGTGCTTATTCGGGATAACCAGTAATCTACATGTATGGTATATCTACAAATATCATTTTAAAAGTTCGACATATCGAGTATTTGTTTTATTTATGGCAATGATAGACATTGTGTGTTGTTTTGTGGCGATACCATTCGAGTTTGTTGACGAGTTATTTGCCTTGGCATATACGGATTTAATTTCGTGCAAGATCTTTCGGTTTCTTAGTACATGTATAAACATGGCATCTGTGTTTATGCTGGTTATAATAGCATTCGAGAGATACGGTAAAGTTTGCACGCCTGATGGCAACGTCATGTCGGAAACTTCAGCGACGTTTTCTTCCACCATCGTTCTCATTGCTTCCGTAGTTTTCACATTTCCGGCAATTTACGTTTACGGGCGAAAAACCATTATGACCACCTCCGAGGTCGTTAACTATGGTAATAGTTCGTCAAACGTCAGCGTGATTGGTTACGACTGCACCTGGGGTAATAACATTGAGGACACGCTCTACTTCAGGTGTTACCACACGTGGATACTCATGACAATTATTGGATGTATGGTCGTTTTAGCTGTGATCTACAGTCTCATCTGGTCAACTCTCAGACGAAACCTTATTCTAACACGCAACTATGCTATGTGCCATACTCGATCCAGCTCGTTGGTTCCTGGTGAAAATAACGATGAAGCGACACGGTGTAAACATGGAGCTGTGCATCCCAAAGAGTCGGAACGGATTCCAAATCACACAATTGATCCTACACAGGTAAATAAAAAAGATACGACAATATCAAATGGAAAAACAGATGGTGATTCAGATGAAAATTTGGAAATAAATTCGGAAATCAATAAACAAAATGGCGAGACTGCATCATCTATAAGCATTGACGTTGACGACAATTTGGCAACGCTTGGGATCTGTAACAGATCACAAGATATCTCGAATGACCGGAAATACTCTGTCGAGTACTATTATTCTGCTAAAGCGCAGTTACTAAGAGAGAAATTACGTCACGCCGAAACGGTTAATGAGAGGGAACTTCCGGTTACAAAGGTCACGTTCTCTCTGTCGCTGCTGTGCATTGTGTTCTGTCTGCCATATATTGTGTGCCTCATTACTTACTTGTCAAACGATGCCTACGTCGTTGCGATGTCAACGCACGAGCATATGTTCTATCTGATTTGCTTCCGGTTGTACTTGGTCAACAATGTTATTAAGTCTATTGTGTACGGATGTCTGGACCGAGAGTTCCGGAAGAACCTTGCCAAATTATATCGTTCTGTATTTGACGGATGCAAGAACTTTGTGTCTCGTAATCCTAAATAACTTTATCTTGAGTTGGGGAGGTACATCGTGTCAAAAAATTATATAGATACAACAGTATCTAGTATCAATTAATCTTTATGAATTCAGATTAAAAAAAAGTCAACTTTGCTAATAGTTCACGTCCAAATTCTGAAATGGAAAATATAAAAGTTAAAGTTGACTCTTCAGCCAATACAAAAATATATGGTATCTATATTAGCTGAAAAGATCAATGTTTGTTTAATTAATTTCTCACAATAGTATTTAATCAATTATTGTAGCCTATAGGCGAGCCACTAGATTGATTTATGTGATATCATTGTTGCCAAATTTGAATTTGATATTGACAATATTGAAATTAAGGTTATTTGCATTGGACAATGAGGACATGTTTACCAACAGTCAATGTGAAAGGTACATTTATATATGTGTAATTGGATCATTATAATTAATAATAACCGTGTGCTTTAGAAATAAAATTTCCTTTCGTATAGTGAAAGGTGTATGCTCAAATGTAATTTTATCCTTTATATCAGTGACTAATTTGCTTACATTGTCCTTGTTGTGTGCAAAAAGTATGAGACAGTCTAGTCTGTAAAAAGCACTGTTCTTAAGTATACCCATTCTTCTCAAAAGGTCCCGTCTACTATAGAAGCCGTATTCTAAAAGCTTTCAGGTCTGTGCCTTTCCGCAGTTACCGAAATCTATCGCTGGTTGCAAGTATCCCTTGCTATTAAACCATAGGTCGGCGTTATAACGTTTTTTTGGGGGGAATACATCAATAGAAGACTTGAACAATGAACCTGAATATATGTGTACCATAAATAGCTTGCTCGTAAGGAAATTGGCAGATAATGAAAGGGACATTATATCATTGTTTTATTGTATTGTAATATTGATGAGTGTTTAAGAAAATGAAAAGAAGAAAATATTCCATTTCAACAGTCAATGCTCTTAGTTTTAATATATAAACGGGTCTAGGATACAAATATTGGTCCTCCAGACGGAGACTTTTCAACGAACGATTATACCATTGTGTATAATATTCAACCAGAAGTCGATACATCTATGTGTCATAAATTTTTAAGATAATTCCACTCAAAACGTCTGTAAAACACATTTCTCTTCGAAATTTAATCCTTAAAAGAAAGAAAGAATGAAAGAACGAAAGAATGAAAGAAAGAAAAAGAGATAAAGTATGATGGAAAGAAAGAAAGAAAAACGTAACCAACATCAGCGATTTTGATATCAATTTTCAGAATACTATTGCGATTTGATGTCATCAAATACCTCGTCAGCGACGTAAACAACTCCTTTTCTTGTCATTTCGTCAACATTCTCAAGGGGTATCAATACTAATGATAATCGCGTCTTAACTCTCAAGTACATAGAAAAGAAAAGAATCGTTAGAATGACGTGATTCGAGTCTAGCTGTTAAGAGTGTATATTCGAGGAGAAACAGGTCTACGTGTTTCTCAAGCCCAAAGCCACATTATGTTTATCAATTACCATAGTTACTATGCATCCCATCGATTTAAAAAACTTAGCAATAGAGGGCGATGTGGTGCTAGTGTACAATACGGCGGATGGAAAATCAAAAGTACAGATAAAATCTAATAGTCACGTATCGTACCGTCAAACGTATGTCCTATATTGAAGGTTGAAAGGTCGAGTTGAACGAGAACAACATTTGACTGGCCCCGTGTCTATATCAAACCCGTTTCTACATAGTAGTTATTTACTAATTTGGTAGATGTTTGCTGATAGTTTTAATTTTTGACATTCTTTGTCATATTAAAAAGTATCAAAACTCCAAACTCGTTTCACAACGTTCACATAAACATGTAGCTCATTCAGAATCATAAAAATGTATATATTGATATACAGTCGAACCTCGTTATCTCGAAGTCGACGGGGCCGTAGGAAAACTTCGAGTTATCCGAGTATTCGAGTTCGACTGTACATGTACTGTTGTTTGACGTATGACCTCATCTTTTAAATGTAATAACGGACTACATTTGTTTGAGGTGTAAGTATATTCACAAACAGTTACCACTACTATTGGCGCGTTCTGGATATATATATATATATGACACGTGTGTACATTACAAAGGGCTGATTCACGTGCTCATTGCAAATACTTTATACATTTCAGCATATCATTAACGCTAACATCAATAGAGGAATTGTTATTGAATAGTAAAACCTGCCGTGTATTATTTGGCGTGACTGCATGACGTTATCAATGTCAAATGCCGATTGCACCTGTGTCACATTAAAATGTACTACATTGCACTTTATACAAAATGTCTGTTATTAGGAACCTTGTATATGCTACACTGTACAATGTTCCTTACACAATATATCTGCTTTATGTGTTAGAGTTAGATAGATATACGTCTTTGTACCTTACATAATATATATATGATTTGTGTTATACAATCGTTCACAGTATATCTGTAATTTGTGTTAGAGTAAAGGATATATGCTAATTTACAAAATATACTTATAATTTGTGTTATATAATATCTTACACGGTATATCTGTAATTTATGTTAGAGTTAAGGATACATGCTACTTTACACAATATACTTACAATATGTGTTATAGATAGAGATACAGTGGCGGATCCTGGGGTTTATTTTGGGCTTCAGGAACACCCCGCTCCTCCCAGCCTGATAATTTTCTTTAAAAATAATGTGTTTTCACCATTTTCCTCGATTTTTTCCCCACATGGAACCCCCCCTGGAAATTTGGACCCCCCCAGGACTTCAGGAACACCCCCACCCCCGCCCCTTCCAGCCTGAGAATTTTCTTTAACAAATAAGGTGTTTTCACTATTTTCTCGATTTTTTCCCCACATGGAACAATACTAGTATGTGTTATAGATATATATATATATTATCTTACACAGTATATCTGTAATTTGTGTTAGAGTTAAGGCTACATGCTACTTTACACAATATGCTTATAATATGTGTTATAGATACAGATATATAATATCTTACACAATATACCTGTAATTTGTGTAAGAGTTAAGGCTACATGCTACTTTACACAATATGCTTATAATATGTGTTATAGATATAGATATATAATATCTTACACAGTATATCTGTAATTTGTGTTAGAGTTAAGGCTACACGCTACTTTACACAATATACTTACAATACTAGTATGTGTTATAGATGTAGGTAATTTCTCACACAGTATACCTGTTATAAGGAGACAAAATGGCGGCTTTTACATTTCAAGGTTGCATGGAAATTGTCGTTTTCATGAATAAATGCCACAAATCTTGATTATGTGATAAAAATAATCTTACACTCGTTTTCATTTCATATGAAATTTATGAAACTCGTTACGAATTTTTCATTCAGAGGCTCGCTAAATTGAATAATTCTTAGGCTCGTTTCATAAATTTCATATGAAATAGAAAGTCATGTAAGATCCTATATTTATTAACCTATTTGGACTCTTGACTTAGAACTCATCACTCTATCTCCCTCAACTCGACTCAAATGGACATTTCTTATATATTTTTTTATTTGACAGAGTATTCTGTGGTATAAAATACTCCGTCATAAACATCACGATTTCTCTTTTATTAAATTCTTTGGACTCTTGACTCAGAACTCATGACTAGATCTCCCTCAACACAACTCAAATGGATATTTTCTATTTGGACCATAAATCAATTTTATGATAATGGCTACTGAACCCGCATCTCTCAGCCAAAAAATGTGGAAATAATTATAATACTGAGTTCTGTGGTTAATAACTAAACAGTTAGACAAAGAACGTCTCCTGCCGAGTTTTATGATCGCACACTGGCTCCACTGTATAGCCCAGTCATCAGAAGTAAATTAAATATATAAATAAAACAGATAAATCTGTCGCTAAGTATAACACTTTGTCCATATATATAACACGATTAACTTGATAGATGCTTGTCAAATAAATGATGTCAAGTACAGAATCCAGACGTCTTCTTATAGCTTTTATATAAAATATCTAATTTAGGCAAAGAGAGCAGTATTGGTTCAGGAAACTATTAAATTTTAATGGTTTGTATCGATGTATTATCAACGTTTATTCTTTATAAACTTTATAGGTGATAGCTTTTATGGATTCATAAAAAAATGGAGAATGTAATTATAAGATGTTTATAAAATTGCATCTATATCTAGAATCAAGTAAGATGATATTAAAAATATATGATATATTGCAACGTTAAGGAATTCAACAGAAACCGAGGCTACATACAGGTTCTATAGTAGGGCAAGTGTTCCAAACACGACATATGGCACTGACGTGGTCTTTATCGAGAAAAACTAGAAAAGTACGGAGGGAACCACATTGAAGAAGTCTTTCAATAAATAACCCTTCGGTTGCTCCTTAGGTCCTGCTACCAGGCAGCCCCTGAAGTTTTGTCACCTGTAATATGTTACTAGCTTATCTCCCCTTAGTTTAAAGCTCTACAAACAGATATCAAATAAATAAAAATACTAGTTTTCATTCTTTCTTCATGTATATAAAATAAAGGTTCCAAAGAAGGGACCGATCAATTTGTTTCTTTGTTAGTGTAGTTTTTGAGAGTCATAGATTTGAGCTGTGAGAAGCACATGTTTTAGTTACCCACCATTTTCTTCTCCGGAAACAATAAAACCGGTTCCCGTAAGTAATTACAAATAAAACCGGAGATCCGGACTAGCATTTCCGGAATTACAATGTTATAAATGTGTCTCTACCTGACCAGTATACAAGTTGTACACAACACTGTTCTCGGTCGTGGTATGTAATTGGTTGGTTAGAATTAGGTCCTTACAACATCAATGATCATATAAGTACGGTGTCCGCAGACGTTGAGCTACTGAGGACTATTGAAAAGTACCCTCACACATGAAAACCAGCCTCTAGACATGGTACATGTAACGCAAGAAATCCAAACTAGGCATATTTATCAAACCAGTAATTCTTATCATTCTAAGCTTTACCTCAAGTAGAGAACAGAAAGCACCACATTTTCCAAATTCCGAGGATTGTACTCTCTTACCATCGAAAAATTAAGCGTAACCCTTGGATTTCGAAGATGTCCAGTGTAAGTATAATTTCTAAGGACTAAGGACTGTCTCGTTCAGGGGACAGAGCCGATCAACTCATCGCTAGGGCGAACGTTCAACACCAAGGCAGTGTTATCGCCAATGCGGGCGCTAGGGAATGAAAAAAAAGTAATAGATAATTAGGATATATATATTAACGCACCTTCATTACTACCCAGTAATTAATGATAGTTCAATATCTGCTCACAGGTTGGACTTAATACTACCTAATGCTGCCTGTTTCATTTGCCCATAAACTGACGTAATGAATATTGTCTGTACTTATTGATTCGTGTTTAATTTCACAACGTAAAGGCCGTGTCAGCTCTCCACAACTTATTGGAAATAAGCAAAATCTACAAATTAGAGACACAAAACTTATTAATTAAAATTGCAACTGTGCGGTAAAAATGTTAAATTTAGAATTCAAACATGTTCCAAGGAAACTTGCTATCAATATTCAACAATAGACTTAATTTTAACAATAAGTGTATAATTATATGATGGTCTCTCGGCAGATTGGATAACACAGTCGACTTTCACTAAGCCAGTCCAAGGCTTGCCGGGGTGAAAATATATGGATTTTCTTGGATTTTCTCCGGGTACTCCGGTATCCTCCCACATTAAGACCCCCACGCGAAAATAACGGGGCCAACTTGAAACCTGATTTCCTGCTCTAATCGCAATATTACATTTTTAACACACCAAAAAGACAGACCAACTCAATTCATCATCCTATAGAATCGACAGAAGTAAGATTTGAAATAATAAAAACAAAATATAAATTGACTTGATTTATTTTCAACAATTATGAAACAATTTATCTTAAGCTAAATTAATCACTCTTGTTGGTCCTGACGTTAGCGCGCGTTGGTTTTTAATGTGGGAGGAAACCGGAGTACCTGGAGAAAAAAACCAGACAGAATAATTAGAAAGCTGATTTTGAAATCAATATGATAACCCTTTCTGATTTCTGATATCATTGGGCCGACGTCCCGACACGATAGTCTGGGATAAACAGAAAATACTATAAAAAGACATGGATTTCAAACATATGTAGAGTCGGTATATTTCTGAAAAAAGACAAACCTAAATAAATCAATAGCAGCTTTGACGTCCGTAGTTGGCGCGGTGTATACCATTGACGTCACATGAATAATTATCTCATATGTCCGTGTCTATTGTTTCAGGAAAATCACTATGGGCAACTCGCGCAGCCGAATGACTGCTCAAATTTGATAGAACGTTTCTTACCAGGGAAAATGAAACCTAGAATCTGTATCGTTACATTGAATGATACAAGTAAGGAGACACTAACAGTGAGAACACAACTTTAACTTGATGGAATTTATTGTAATCAGGACAGATTTAATGAACCAAAATAGATAAATTAGCTATTAATTGTAACTGTGTACTATTATTAGTATAAAGCATAAGAAAGTTATGACAAGGTTTATTATGATTGATGATATCGGCGCAATGCTACGCTCTGGTTATATTAATAATAATGATAATAATAATAATAATAATAATAATAATAAATAATAATAACAAAATATCTTATTCTAAAATATCCAAGTGTCACATATTGATTAACATTTAAAAACAATTAAAATGTACATAAAACTTGATCAATATTCAGCCAAAGTTAATCGATTTATGGACAGTAAAAAGCAATAATATACATTAAAATCAGTGTCAAGTTTAAAAAGACCAATATTTATCAGCTTATTATAGCTTATTATACGTTATTACCACATGTTCATACAAAAGTTAATTTGACTTACGACTTCAAAAGGCAATAATATACCTTGAAATAAGTTTCACCAAATTTAAAAAGTTAATATATTTGTGTACAGTCTAGCCTCGCAATCTAAATATAAATCTAGATATATAGATAGTAAAACTGTACTTGTTGTTTTCAATACCATTCATCAGTTTGGAATTAGGTAATATCAAAATTTTACTTCATGCATGAACAATGCACGTGTTAAACGTGTCGCAAGGTTTAAAATACGACTGGTCACTTTGTCAAGCTATCGTTCACGTCCATACGACACATGATACTTAATTAAACTCGGAACAATATAACCATATATTAAAGAAAGTCTTTGAAGTATAATAAATCGACTTAAAGTAATGTAAATATCGACATACTGTATTAGAATGTTGATATAACATAACTTGATATCTCGACATAATTCGAACCATGCTTAAAGAACACTTTTTATTAATAATTTGGAATAAATGAAAACAAATGTACACAAAATATCATTTGAAATTTCAAAAGTACATCTTCTGTACATACAGGAAGTAAACGGTATGTAGGTGTGAGCACGTCGGTTAAGCTGTCAATGCAATCGTTCAGTAGTGTTTACTTATGGCTGATTATGTTAGAATTATAGCTGGAACAGCACCAACTAAAAAATGGAGGCAACTAGTTTAGCTCACAGATTGCATACAGCTGGAATATGTTAGTAAGCGTTTGAGAAATGTGCCTGTTTGATGGAACATCAGAGGGTACATTACCTATCATCCCTTATTCCCCAAATCACTTCCCTTATTTCATTGAAGGCATTACACCTGCAGCTGCACCGTCATCATTTCCGTGCCATGGAAACTTCTAGAATAACTGACGTAACGGTGTCTTAGTCTGTCTTATGTTATACAACTTAGGCTTGGCTGGAATTTAAATGATCGTTTAATGTTAAAGTTTTTTGTTGAAATGAAAACATTGGTTATCGTGGTGCATGCTTGTAAGACTGGTTCACGTTTGTAAGAGTTACCAAGCTTAATATTTGCATTTGTTACAAATGTAAATCATTTTAAGATGATAGATTTTTGTTCAAGAATGGTAGATATTTATTAAAATGGTAAATATTTTTTAGAATGGTACAATTGTTTTTTAATTTGTATATATTTGAGAGAATGGCTGATATTTCAAGGAATCATAGATGTCGTGCAGAATGGTAGATACTCAGTAGAATTACATGTGTTTAACAAAATGCTAAAAACTTACTAAAATAGTCAATTTGTGATAAAGGTAAATTTTTGGGAGAATTGAAGGTGTTTTGGGGTAATGCTTAGGCTAAGGGAGAAGACCCCAAAATAACAACCGGGCAGATGGAGCTCGTCAGCAGTGTTGATGCAATCTTCTAAGGGAGAGCAAACTCTGACAGAAAACACGACCCTGCAGGTAGTAGGTTGGGCGTAGGGCTAATCACCTAACACTATAAAAAGAAGCTGATAATGGAAATTATGAACAGGTCAACAGATATTTTCGGTAGGGAAGGTATATCAATCAGACATACTCCAGAGGACCACTTCGCTGGCCAATCCCAAGTTCACTAGGATGATAGGCACGTGGAACGTACGAACCATGTATGCTATCGGAGATCATGAAAGAAATGAAAAGGTACCATTTAGACATCTTAGGAATCAGTGAATGTAGATGGACCGATGAGAAAGACATATTCTATGACCAGCTTCAGAAAGTTATTGAAAAGGCTCCTCGCCATGACATAATCTTAGTAACTGGTGACATGAATGCAAAGGTGAGAGGACAGTTTGATAGATAACAAGAAGTTGTTGAACAGTTTGAGCTTCACTGTGACAGGAATGACAGCGGAGAAAGATTCTGTGCCATCAACAACCTAGTCATTGCATCAACAATGTTCCCGCATAAAGATATTCATATACACACATGGACATCGCCAAATGGACTACACCATAACCAAATAGACCATGTGGCAGTAAACGGGAAGTTCAAGAGATCAATCATAGATGTCAGAACATACAGGGTGCAGATGTGGGCAGCGATCACGGCCCATCGTAATCAAGACAAAACTGAAACTTCATAAGGATGCTGGAAAGGTAACAACATCTACAAGATATGAAACATGCTAAAAGCAACCGAGGTGAAACATCAGTTATGGATAGAGCTTAGAAACAGATTCAGCATTCTGAGTGAGCAGTCAAATGATGACACAGATATATAAAACAGATGGAATAATTTCAAGACAGCATACAACGAAACTTCATTAGCTATACTTAGGTATCGGAAAAGGAAAAATCAGNTGAGCAGGCGAGGAACCACTGAACAGATCTACATACTACGTACACATCATTGAGCAGGCGAGGAACAACTGAACAGATATTCATGCTACGTAACATCATTGAGCAGGCGAGGAACCACTGAACAGATCTACATACTACGTAACATCATTGGGCAGGCGAGGAATCACCGAACAGATCTACATACTACGTAACATCATTGAGCAGGCAAGGAACCACTGAACAAATCTACATACTACGTACACATCATTGAGCAGGCTAAGAACCACTGAACATATCTACATACTACGGAACATCATTGAGCAGGCAATTGATTTGAAAGCAAAGCTGAATGTATGCTTTTTAGATATGAAAAAGCATTTGACAGCATCCATCGTAATACTTTGTGGATGATTATGAAGAGTTACGGAATACCTCAGAAACTCATCAATATGATTAGAGCCATGTACAACAACAGTGAATGTGCAGTGTTAAATGAGAATGGTATGACTGAATGGTTCACAGTGAAGTCGGGAGTAAAGCAGGGCTGTAACATGTCAGGATTCTTGTCCCTACTAGTTATCGACTGGATAATGAGAGCAACAACTAATAGCAACAACACAGGCATCCGATGGAACCTAACAACTAAACTAGAAGAGATAGACTATGCGGCGGATGACATAGCACTACTATCCAGCACCAGATCTAGAGAACGTATTCAGCAGAAGACCAGCTTGCTAAACAACTACTCAAAACAACAGACTTGAATATCAACTCCGCCAAGACAAAACTTATGAAACTAGATACCAACAACACCCGGCCAGTCGAAATATATGGGAAAGTTATTGCGATATGAACACGGTTGTATATCTTGGAGCAACCATTAATATAACAGGCGTTGCATATGAAGATATAAGAAGAAGGCTAGGACAAGCAATATTAGCCTTTCATAAGCTAACAAAAATCTAGGCAAGCAATCAAATCAACAGGAAGACCAAGTTAAAGATTTACCATTCAAATGTACTATCTGTGCTTTTATATGGAGCAGAAACATGGAACATGACCAAAGGAGACGAGCAAGTTCTAGACACCTTCCTACATAAATGTCTCAGAAAGATACTAAGAATATTTTGGCAAAAAGTTACAAATGAAAAAGTAAGAGCGCTTGCAGGAACTGACGGAATCAGTGTCATCGTAAGAACAAGACGATGGAGATGGATAGGGCATGTGTTGAGAATGACGCCCAACTGCCATGCACGTGTAGCACTTGGTTGTACACCAGAAGGGAAAAGGAAACGAGGAAGACCAAATAAACCTGGAGAAAGACAGTAGAGGAGGAAATGAAACACCGAGGCTTCTCATCATGGTCAGACGCTGCAAAGAAGGCAGAAGATGGGATGTTCTTGAGAGGACTTGTGCATGGCCCTATTCTCCACTTGGAGAGAAGGAACTATGTATGTTTCGAGGGCATAAACGTCACAATTGACGGAGCCTCCATAACTTAAAGAAGAAGATGTAGAGAACGAACTGAAGGGTAAATATGCAAAAGAATTCATCAAGAATCGGTAGAATGGTAACTATTTAAAAAATAAGTCTCCTTTTTCCTATTCGATATAGGGGAGTCGAACCAAATCAAATGGAAATACTCTGCGATATTACATGTTCAAAAAATACATTTATCATATTACTCCCCTGGTATGCAGTGAATACACCCATTTCATATTTCTGCATATAAACTCATCGTATATGACCTTGAGCAATTTTGATTGGTTGACCGCCTTACACTTTCCACGATAATAAATAACTCTGCACTACGTCTCGTAGTAAACATGGCGGGCGCAACATTTCCAGTTGGTTTTAAATGACGGGGTCTATATTTCTATAGACCCCGCCCTGCCGAGGAATATATAAGCACATGCGAGGGGAGATAACTCGACCTAGAATCTCTCTTCTTAACCACAAAGATGGCGTAGGACACACACAAGCTTTCGAGGTTTGCCAATCATTCACATGATGAAATGGCCTAAGACCAATCTGAAAAGATAGCGAATTCAACGAAACAGGCAATGAGGGGGGCTGGGGGCTTATTACAAAGATGGTTGTGTATTGTCCAAAAAATTGCAAAAATGTGTTCGGTAGGGGCTATTTTGGTAGCAGTCAGGCACAACTCAAACTCACAAAGTGATTTATAATTTTTCAGAAAAAAAAAGTAAAAAAAATATTGTCAGGGTGACAAATTCGTTATCTCTGGGTTAGGTGGAGTCTCCTGACTCATAGACCTATTTGGTCTTTAAAGACACCGAGCCGATATGAGCCCGTAGACCCCTCCTAAATGTGACCCAGAGATAACTAATATTATCAACAATTTTTAACATCACTTCCTAAACCAGTGAAACGACTTGGGTTTATCGAATTGGACAGTGATAAACAGGTTCAGTGGAGCTGCTGACACCTCAAATTTCCGCGTAGTGTCACGCTTTGTAATTTCGCGCTCTGTGACGTAGCGTGAACAACGTGAACTTGTTGCTCTGTTTTGTTAAAAATTGTCNTGCTTTGTGGGCAAAATTCTTTTGTTCCTGTAACAGGTCCTTTCAGCTGAAGCTCTATATTTGTATAAAGCATTGGACACATGGATTAAATATTAATATTTATCCATGTTGTTTGAGCGATTTAAAACAAAAATATTTACTATTTGTAACAGCGCAGATAGACCTGACCTACATTTTGATAAGTAAGCTGATGAAATGACGAACGATGAAACAGTATTTCAGTTATATGATAAAAAGGATCTTGCAATCGTTTCAATGTCATATGAGATATATAAAACTCATCACGAATTTTTAATCTTAGCTCGCCAGAGGCTCGCTAAAATGAAAAATTCTTAGACTCGTTTCATAAATATCATATAACATAGAAACTCATGTACGATCATATATTTATTATATGACTGGTGCTAAATCCCCGTCCTGATTAGAGGAACGACGTCATGTGGCGAGTCTATAAAACTGTTACAGACCTCGACCTATAAATAGAAAAAAAGGATACAGACCGCTACCAAAAATAAGCCTAGAAAATGTCCCAGCCAGTCTGTAATTCTGTTACAGACCTCGACCTATAAATAGAAAAGAAAAAAAAGATACAGACCGCTACCAAAAATAGNTTTTTGTTACATATTTGAGTTCATAATTTGCAGCAGATCCTACTTTAAATAATATAATATTATTTGATAGCGTAAAACATTGTTTTGATAGTTTTTTGGACAAAAAAGTGAACCCTGTCGTACACCTTTGGAAGGCGGCACTAAATAGTTCATAGCACAGGCCCTGGGGACCTTTTTAAGTTTTTAAAATTATCTCATGGGTCGTGTCTTAGGGAGCTACAAATATAACCCAGTAATGGTTAAATTGCTTTGTGGGCAAAATTCTTTTGTTCCTGTAACAGGTCCTTTCAGCTGAAGCTCTATATTTGTATAAAGCATTGGACACATGGATTAAATATTAATATTTATCCATGTTGTTTGAGCGATTTAAAACAAAAATATTTACTATTTGTAACAGCGCAGATAGACCTGACCTACATTTTGATAAGTAAGCTGATGAAATGACGAACGATGAAACAGTATTTCAGTTATATGATAAAAAGGATCTTGCAATCGTTTCAATGTCATATGAGATATATAAAACTCATCACGAATTTTTAATCTTAGCTCGCCAGAGGCTCGCTAAAATGAAAAATTCTTAGACTCGTTTCATAAATATCATATAACATAGAAACTCATGTACGATCATATATTTATTATATGACTGGTGCTAAATCCCCGTCCTGATTAGAGGAACGACGTCATGTGGCGAGTCTATAAAACTGTTACAGACCTCGACCTATAAATAGAAAAAAAGGATACAGACCGCTACCAAAAATAAGCCTAGAAAATGTCCCAGCCAGTCTGTAATTCTGTTACAGACCTCGACCTATAAATAGAAAAGAAAAAAAAGATACAGACCGCTACCAAAAATAGGCCTAGAAAATGTCCCAGCCAGTCTGTAAATCTGTTACAAATTCCACTACTTAATTCAACTACAAATGAATTATCTCATCAAATTCTGAACTATGTGATGCTATTGATGATGTCGATTGTGCAAATGATATTTACTTGAAATTAAAAAGCACATGCATTGAATCTAAAATTGTGTAGATCTTCTGTTATTTTGTATATAAAGTCCTTCACTTTACGATTCTAAAATGGATCATGATTTCCGTGTTTATGACATGAAAATTGTTCTTCTTATAAAATATCCTATAATAAAACAATGGTGGACTTAAGTTTCGGTGTATCCCTGATTTACGTTCGGACCTGGTGAAAACAATATTTACTCGGCCTAGGTTAGACCGGCCACCGTCTCTAGAATATTGAATTATTAAGATTTTTTTTTTACTCAAACAACTTTTATCACTTGGATGTCTGATTTCAGATTTGACCAGACCCTAAGTTCTAAACTAGGGGGAGATAAGCTAGTAGTGAAACCAAGCTGAGTAATTCTTCATAACAACTTAGAGGCTGGTAGCCCGTCTAGGCCTAAGCGAATATTGTTTAGACAAGGTCCTTATCTCAGAAATAGACCTCACCCGAAGTCAATAATTGTATATTATAATAAGTATGTGTTTGCAAAAATGTGACATGTTTTTATTCAAAACGATAGCGGTTTCATAAAAAACAATTTGCTGGCAACAGATGTTAAAAGATTCTCTGATAAATGACATTTTTGCAATGCTGAAACAATCGAATTTATTTTTGAACTGCATGTGGTTATAAATGATCTCCAAAATGATAAATATGAACAATCAAACTCAAAGCTTAGCTGCTGACGTTTTGCATTTGTAGTGGGTAAGTTTGTTATGAAACAGTATATTTCTACGTTAATAATGTATAGCAAAATTCACGCGTACCAGATTTAAATGTAATCAAACCAATGCAGCTTCGCTGCGAGGGGTTGGGAAAACCGAGACGCCCAGTGACCACGTTCAGAGATAACAATCCTCACACTAACACGTACTGTATCATTGGAGAGAACAGGCCTCCCGAGTCGTGATCATTAATATACATATAGCGAACGCACCTGTTCGGTGATGACACACTCAAATAATTTGCATATTGACTACGGGGCGGGGCTAATGTGAAAGCTTCACGTAGCCAAATCTTTTTCGTATTTCCGGTGATAAATGAATTCTACGGAAGCCCAAGGGCTGCAGTTCAACTGCATATCGCTGTAGTTGATGAATTGCAAAACAAGCGGAGCGATTACTTTGAATGAAATCTGGAATCCGTTACCAAAGTAATGACTGGATAGAAGAACAACCAGACTAGCGGAGGGTTGGGTAGTGAGTTATGTTTTATGTCTCAAGTTTAACATGCGCAGACATACAACGGTGTTAATAGTGTATCGATGTTAAAACGAGTCACCGAACATCCACATGAATATCTCAACTCCACCATTTGGAACATATTTTCGAGGGATGAGCCAATGGGAACCGTTGGATTGTCGTTTGCATTATAACAAAATCATTAACTGACGGATGGCTTGACAGCAAAGAGTCCCGAAAGACGACCCAATCGTGGCGTGAAATGTTTCAACAAAGACACTAACACAGCAACTTGTCACCATAGGTGATCATGGGTCATCATAAATGACTCACGTGACGATGTAACAAAAGGAATGTATGAAGATCACGGGTCACCTTAGATGATTCTCAATTAAGTGACGAAATAGCG